TACCTGTATAGTTTTGTAATCGATCTATGAGTATGTCATGATCTATAGTGTCGAACGCAGCACTAAGGCTGCTCTTTAATCAGGCCGCTCATCTCTGAACTCCTTCCGGTTGCAGTGCTGCTCCGTGGCGTTCATCGAGAAGCTTGATGGGCAGTCGCTGAACCTGAGTCATGAAGACTTTGAGCTCTACATGTCCGGTGCATCGTCTCCGCCGGGTCCCAAAGCCGCTTCATCCGGCTTTAGAGAGGAGCGCTGCATGGCAGAACCACAGCTGGAGCCGAGGAGAGCCGAGGAGACGCGGCCTCTGGAAACAGACCTCATCGAATGGAGCGAAGGCCAGGAGCTCTCAGTGCTGGGCATGCTGGAAGGGACTCCTGTACAGACACACATCTCTACAGCATTCACTATTGACTCAGACAACATAGGCGGCGACAGCCTGCCTCCTCCATTACAGCCGCAGAAGTTTGCTGGATAGCTCCTAACTTAACTGGGCACAGACTGCCAACACCTGGCGATTCTCCCCGCATTTCTTCTGTCTGCAGGTCAGTGATGGTCTCTGAATACATTCACACTTCGGTTCTTTATAGGGTGATCAGCGGTCATAGGTTTAGATCTTACTCCAAAATTGAAACAAATATTAAGATGAGAATTTGAATTCTAGTTTTAGGACCATTATGATTTTTTGTGGCAAAAAAAAGCAAAAAACAATACTTGATATTATAATGTATTTATATGTCATCATGGTGGTATTGGCTGCACTGCATTTCATTTGTGTAAATATAAATGTTAAACATTGTATTGCATTACTGAGAATCCAGTGAAAATCACTACTGAGAACCAGAACTACAAAGAAAAAGAGAAATGTTTTATGCTGTTTTGAAAATAATGTTACAATGCCAAAAAAAAAACTGTCATCATTAGTCTCAAAAAATAAGCATTTGATAAGCTATTGATTTTGGGGTGAAATATGGCCTGGGAATGTTTTCATGAGATTCGCTGTGATGTAATAATATAGATTCTCTTCTTGACCTCCTTTCCGTTCATTTTTAATTGGACAAGAAGAGTGTGAATTTAGACAGATGGTGGGTATTAATTATAAATTATTTAAATTTATTGTTTCTTGCACTGATTTTATTGCTTTATGCAACTCACTGAAATATGAGAATACATAACTTATTAGTACACACAATTTATTTCAGTTTTGCCTCAACTTAAGAGTTTCAACTCGGCGTCCTTAAGTTTTCTGGCCACTATTATTGGCATTAGTGGTCTTTTGAATTGAGAATTAAAAATTAGGACAGAACCTGTGTGGGTTGGATTTATATAGCTGCTCTATTAATAGTATAGTTGAGTCACTCAGAATCCGGTGTGAAGTGATCTTTACTCTGGTTATTGTTATGCTAGGATTTGTTAAGGCATGCTGTGATGAACAGTAGTTATGCTACAGATGAGCTTGTGGTTTAATGGACACCAGCGCATTAGTAAACAAGAATTCACTCAGTGTAACAAATTAATCTATTTAAAAATGTATAATCATATATTTATTTTCTTCATATTTAACTTTGAAGAAATGCTGTTACAGTATGAAAGAAAAAATGATTTTATGATTTAGTGAGTTAATTATTTTAAACATACTTTTTGACCTTTTGTCCTATGAAAAATATCGCTTATGCATGCAAAGTTACAGTTTTGCTGTGGTATGTGGTATCCCATTACGAACATATTGTAACCTCATTTAGTTATCTAAATGATCTGGGTATGAAGCCAGAAGTATGCTATTTAAATGGTTATAAATAAAATGATCTACTGAAAGCACTGGTGTTTAATTTGTTTCCACCAAATATTAAAATGAGTTTTGGTAAAAAAAAAAAGTAAAAAAAAGGCTTGGTAAAAACTTGGTAAGTTTAATGTGTGGACTCTTTCTGGTAAATGTACTGCATCTGCTGTTCACACAAGCAGCAGCTTTCCGTCCTCTGTCAAATTATTAAGATACTATTAATACATCAGCACCAAAATACCAAAAATATATAAAAAATAAAAGTCAGTTTTCTTTACTGATTTAAAGAGACATGTCTCCTTTAAGACTTAAATGTAAACAGCCACTCCTATGATTGGGTAGCATTTTTGCGTATGAAATCAGTGTTACAAGTAGGAGTTTTTTTTTTTACTACTACAGCTGCCAAGATTAAATAACCATGAACAGATGTACATTTAGATCTACTCCCATTGCATAACACTTTGCAGCTCTGAGCATTGTAGCCGATCACAGTCATGTCTTTTGAGCACGTAAAAGCAATGATTTTGTCATTGCATCTTAACTTCTGCACTCTCACGAATGCTTTCATCATAACACAGTGCACAATGTAAACCAGAGATTTACTGTCAGTAAACTCGCGCGGTAAAGTGGACATTTTATTTGCTTTCTTTCATTTTGCAGTTTAGAAAAGATGGTTTTCATCCGAGTAACAGGTGATATGAATTTGTCCCACAGCCCAGCATTACCACCTAGTAAGCGTTGCAGAACAGGTTTATTACTGCAAATTGTGATATGTAGTTTCTATTATAGCACGTTGATTATATGTGACCCTGGACCACAAAACCAGTCATAAGTGTACATTTTTTGAGTTTGTCAACATGTGTTAATTTTGTTAGGATAGGACAATATTTGGCTGAGATACAACTATTTGAAAAGCTGGAATCTGAGGGTGCAAAAAAATCTAAATATTGAGAAAATCATCTTTAAAGTTGTTCAAATGAAGTTCTTAGCAATGCATATTACTAATCAAACATTAAGTTTTGATATATTTACGGTAGGAAATTTACAAAATATCTTCATGGAACACGATCTTTACTTAATATCCTAATGATTTTTGGCATAAAAGAGAAATCTATAATGTTGACCCATACAATGTATTGTTGGCTATTGCTACAAATATCCCCCAGCGACTTAACACTGCTTTTGTGCTCCAGGCTCACATATGCGCTAAAAGCTGAATTTCTTTGTTGTACTGGTTTTTCTGCCAGGAGGATGGGTGCTCTTGTAGACACCAGCTACACCTTTAGTAACATAACATACAATCATACTGACCTGTCACTTTCAACAGTCCTGGAGCAATAGAGGTTAGCTTTCAGTGTCGTAGTAGTAAATTGTAAATTGGCGACACAAACGATCTCGATTTACACTGAGTGCAACAATTAAATGTTTTATATCAGGCGAACTGAACACTCCCCAGTTGGTGACTGTGCCTGGACACAGTACATTGTTTTGTAGGGTGTAACACCCAGGCGCTAAAAGCTGAATTTCTTTGTTGTACTGGTTTTTCTGCCAGGATGATGGGTGCTCTTGTAGACACCAGCTACACCTTTAGTAACATAACATACAATCATACTGACCTGTCACTTTCAACAGTCCTGGAGCAATAGAGGTTAGCTTTCAGTGTCGTAGTAGTAAATTGTAAATTGGCGACACAAACGATCTCGATTTACACTGAGTGCAACAATTAAATGTTTTATATCAGGCGAACTGAACACTCCCCAGTTGGTGACTGTGCCTGGACACAGTACATTGTTTTGTAGGGTGTAACACCCAGCTGCATGTAAATGGGAAAGGCCTTATCATAGGATACTACATCATGAAAACACCACTTGGCTGGCACCTGCCTCGTCCTCCAACACACACATAACATCAGGTTGGAAAACAAGATGCTGGGACATATACTATACTGTACCTGCAAAGGCAAAGTGAGAATTCTGGATCTGGACCTGAGGCCTCATAATGTAAGTGGCTACGATATTTAATTTTTATCCCTCTGTTTCAAAAATCAAACGAGCTTCCTCGTTTTGCCTTAAATAGCCCATTAGCCTTTGGAACAGGACTTAAAATTGGGACATATCAAACTTCATTTTTGTCTTTGTGTTCCAAAAAGCTTTGTTTTTAGGTCATTTTTGAGTCTTATAAAGCCATCAGCCAGGTTCCTGATGACGCTGCATTAAAGCAAGATTCAGATTTAAATGTGGTTTTGGTCATACTTTATTTTAAGGTCCAGTTCTCACTATTAACTAATAGTGTTCGAGCCTCCATTAAGGCCAGCAAGCCAAGATCGTTTACCATTAACCATCAGGACCGGATGGGCAGGCGCACTTGTGAAAAGTACTAATAAACAGCCAAAATGCTAGTATTCTTGTTAATAGTGAGAATTGGTCCTTAAAGTGCTACCATAATTTTGTTTGCAGACATTGTACATGTTCACTTTGTTGTGAGGAAAGTGGAGCATTAATCAAAGTGATATTTTTTGCTTGATTTTATTACTTTAGTGCTCAGAAACCCATCAACCCAAAGCCTACATTGTGGTTTGTATTTCATACAATACATAACATATGATTTGATGATTTATGTTTGTTCTGTTGACCTTATGAGTAATGAACTGTTTATGGAATGATGCCTCTTTGAAAAATAATGTGTTGAGTGGAAAATTCAATATACCTGTCTATATGTCGTAGAGGCTCATTGATATGTAACCAATCAGCAAGAAGCTTAAATGGCACATGACGAAAACATTGTCAGAATGATTCAAATCACACTTTTTTTTTGTCAAACTGTTTGATATTTGAGTGTTAAATAAAGACTGCATACCAAAAAGCAAAATAATTTTAAAAAGACTTGTCATCTAATTAAAACAATTATTTCCTTTAACTTTATCAGAAAGTTTTAACACGTACTGAATGTTCAAAACAGTCCATAAAAAGAGATGCACAGTGCTCTCACAACACATACCGTGCACTGTATGACAATTTTGTGAATATGTAGTTTCGATGTTTGTTTGTTTTTTTTTGTGTCCAAATTTAACTTTGAAATCAGATTAGCCTATCTGATGTGGTTAACGAAATGGCATACTCATTTTAATACTCATTTAAACGTTACACTTCTGTCTCTCTATGATGAAAACACTACATCTACTGTAATTGGTCATACATTCAAGTTCAGTTCGAGATCTAGCCATGAAGAAGGTGTTAGTCAGGATAGAGCAAGAACCCAGAGAAGGTGCTGTCATCCTCGCTGCTGGAGTAGACACCGTTCCAGTCTCTCAGCGTCTCTACCCACACCTCGTCTCCCACATCCAGCTTCAGGATCACTAGATTGGATGCCTGGTCAATGTCTTGACCCTGTAGGGTGTCTCTCGAACGTACCTTACGCACTCCATTCACCACCAGAGAAGCACGCAGCGGCTTGTTTCTCACCGTGATCTGGTAGGAGAACACGTAAACTCCTGAGTAGGTGCAGTTGAATTTGCTCGTGACTACGTCATAATGGTTTTCTCCATTGTAGAAGACCTTGTCGAAGCGAACTGGAAATCCAGATGGGGGAAAAGACTTGCTTGGATATAAGCCGACGCTGAAAGCAGACCGTGCTCTCGATCCACTTTGACCCATTGAGCCCTTCAGTCCCCGTAGGCCTCGGTCTCCACGGTTCCCTTGGGGGCCACGGTCACCCTTCATTCCCCTCAGACCTCTCATACTTTTGACTCCTGGCTGTCCCCGTGCTCCTGGCTCGCCCTTTGCTCCAGGAACTCCTGGTTCCCCGCGTTCTCCGGCGATTCCTGGAGTCCCGTGCATGCCGTGTTGCCCAGATGAACCAGGGTCTCCATGCACACCTGGTGGTCCAGGATCACCTAGCTCACCTTTCTGGCCACTGTCACCAAGTAAACCGCACTCTCCTCTATCACCCTTTTCACCCTTTTCACCAGTCATGCCTTGGGGTCCCGGTGGTCCATCTTTGCCTGTCTCTCCCTGATCACCTTTTGACACATTCAAATTTGGATCTCCTTTTTCTCCTTTCGAACCTTTGAATCCTGGCAGTCCAGCTGCACCCTTCTCACCTTTAATACCCAGCTCACCTGTTTAGTACAAATATATTGCATTTATTCATCTTTATTGGGTATACAAATTTGCAGGGACCCAATGGTTAACTGTGTTCACCTTTCATTCCAGCCTTTCCCTGGATGCCTGGAGACCCAGTCAGTCCTATGTTTCCTTGATCACCTTTCTCTCCTGTTGAATACAATACGAAATCTCAAACATGCATGTTATCAGAAAGGTCACATTTTAAAATAACCAGGATAATGTCCATATATAATCTCCTGCTCAAGTATGTACCTTTATCCCCTTTAGATCCTGAAAAGCCCTTTGGCCCTATTGGGCCCGGCATACCTTTGGGTCCAGGTGCTCCTTTTTCTCCAGTTGGGCCTACAATATGGCATTAAACAACATGACAGAAGCCAGGTTTCCCCCCACATACCTACAGTAAATAACACTCTAAGGGCCAGATTTACTAACAACCTGTACCAAAGCAAACCCTCTTTATAATTAAAAGTCTACTGTCCGGATTTACTAAAGACATGCAGTGAAACATTAGCGATGGAAAGGCATGGGCACAGTTACTTTTGCGGCTGACCTTATAGAATACCCATAGAGCAACATAATATATAAACGCACCATGAATAGCAGCCAGCAAAGCCCAATAAATGACTAACACTAATCACAATTGTGGTGACTCAAATGAAACAACCGTTGGATTTCTCAATAAAAAAAACTTCTGTAGATGCCTGACAGAAAGTCAATCTGGTTGGTAATAAGTGAAGATGGTAGTGCTGTTTGTGGAGTTGTTTAATCCTCCTCTACTGAGATCTTGAGAGATTTAATGTCTTTTATCTTCATTACAAGCACCCGATTATCATTGTCTCTGCTTGTTTGCGACCCTACACTAATTTGCAATGTTCTTGGTAGATTGCTTTGGTCAATATGCATATGAGCTCACTGAAACATAACTGAATCAATGATGAATGGAGTTTTGCATTATTGCACACTATTTTCCTGTTCAATACTGTAAAGCTGCTTTGACGCAATCTATATTGTTAAAAGCGCTATATAAATAAAGGTGGCTTGACATGAGCTGATGGCATCTATCAGTAGATCACCCGCAGAACCTTCCACTCCCATCGGTCTCACACTAATTTGCTCTGTTTAGTAAATCTGGCCCTGTTTTATTATTACAGAATGTATGACTTCACTCAGCTGACCTGCCAGTCCTATATCTCCTTTGAAGCCTTGTGGGCCTTTCTCTGGAGGGCAGCACTCACAGAAGTTGAAGTAGCATTCATTGTAGTCTAGTGTGTAATTGTCTTTGGCCGTGGTGGGAGATGCGGTGGTGTCTGTAGGGTAGTCTACATAGCTGTCAGCAGGAACTGTAGTGCTCTCTGTGACGTGCGCAGAGAAGCGCTCTCTGGTTTTGGTGTAGTCCACAATCCGTGCTGTGACTGTAGGCTTGCCGACATATACAGTGGTTTGGACCACCTCTCGGGGGGGTTTCTTGGTGTACTGGTACTTTGGCCTCTGAGTGGGCTTGATGGTGTCACACAGGGTTATAAAACTCAGTGCTATTACAGTTATGAAGAGAGCGCGTTCAAAGATCATCCCCATTTTCTGTCTGTAGAGAAAGAGTGAATAAGAATTTACTGGACCAAACATCACCTTGTAATTCGTTCAACCTTAATGTATAAAAGGTGGCGAAAGAAGGATTTGTTTAATTGCAATTGATCAATGTCAGTCACATTTAACTCTTTCCCCGCCAAACATGGAATTTTCCATGTTTTCACTGTTATACTCTCGGAGGGGCTCTATTACGCTTCTCCTGAATGAGTCTAGAATGTCCCGATCAAAAACACAGACGAGGAAGACACAGAAACGAGTGATCTCATATGTAAGCAGATGCATATGAAATGTAATGCGGCCATCAACACTAACCCGATATAAATGAGAACTGCGTAATGCTACCGAGTGAAATGTGGATCCAGGAAGAGGTAAAGGACTGTGCAAGCTTTGGGAGTGCTGATGGAAGTCATCTACTGCATCTTTGCTTTGATCATCGTACTGAATATGATTCAGATGTAGTATTTGATAAAAATTTGATTTCTCAGCTTTTTGCTTAAAATGTTGCATTTTTACGAAACCTACCCAAGTGTTGATTTTAAAAAGAATGCTTGAAGCTAGAATAAAACTGATTTTTGTTGTTGTTGTTGTTGTTGTTTAAAAGTATAGGATTTCCTCTTTATTTTGGTGTATTGCATGTTCAGATATTCATACAACAAAATATTCCAGGGGCCATGAAATTTTTGTAAAAATCAACAAAAATGCTGGCATTGGCTGGCAACGTTTTTCAAAAACGGGAAAAGAGTTAAATTGCATGCTAAATAAAAACAGTACTGACAAGAAAAAGAGAAAGACACTCAAATCATTGATAAACTTGTGTATAGATCCACATTAGATATGGCAATATATCAACTAACATTAAATGCCATTGTGCTTGTGTCATGGTGTGAACTCAATGACGTGCAAGAACCAATGAAGTTTGATGTTACTGGTTTGTCACCATATTTGATTTTGTCTCTGTATACATGAATTGATCAATGTTTTAATTTATCAGTCTATTCATCATATAAAGTGATTGTATCACTTCAGAAAACATTGATTACACCGCTACAGCCCAGTGGGCACCTTGATATCAATTTGATGTCAAATATTATTCAACACTTGATCAAGATGCTGTAACATCATTTTAAATTCAGTTTGGATGGCAATTTCTTCCAGTGGTAATTGGGTGACAATAGGAAGGTAATCTGACTCTGAAATTGGTTTAATGTATGTGTAGGCCATGTTTGACTTTCAATTTACATCAAATCAATGTCATGACAAGTTTTTGATGTCAGTTATATTTGCATATTTGACTGGTTTTCATCAATTGGTTTCATCAACATCAATTGCCCACTTGAACACAAATTACAAAAACTAACCTTAAAAATGAAAATAAAACAAAAATGTTCCACACGACAAAAACTATTTTTTTCAAGAAGACCCCATTTTAAAGTTCAGTTTTAAAGTTCCCATTTTCAATTCTCATAAATGTGCAATAAACAACATGCAAGTTTGTTTTCACCAAACCCTATCATGTATGCCTTTAGGTCACTTAAAATATACAGTATTAAAAGAGGGCCACGATTCATAGTACAGTACGGCTTTCAGATGTCTGTTAAAGAGCACTTTATCATTTAATCATCAGTTGTGTACAAACATATTTTAAAAAGCAGTTTTACTTGCATTCTAAATCAAAAAGTCTTTATCAAGACCACAAAAGGGGGTAGATAATTTTCCTCTCTGACTGACATAGGCTTCTTATCATTGTTCAAGTCACTCTAGATAGCACACTAAGGGATGGACAGGTGCCAAGCTCACAGCTTTCATCGATATAACACCCCCATATAGACTGATCACTTGAATCAAAACTCCTCACGCTTTCATTCTCGAATAGTTAGTGACGGGTGATGCTGGATTCTAGAGTGTTCGCTGAGACCAGCTGAATATAACAGCCTCAGTCAGGAAATCAGAGTCTCATTCCAATCTGTTTGGTGTCACTCCAAAAAAGCTTTTGTCCGAAAGAGCAGTAATAATCTCAGGAGCTCACTTTAGACTCAGCTGTTTTCTGGAGGGAAATGGCTTATCTAATGAAGCTGCTTTTGAGGTAAAATGAAGGCTACTGGCAGCCAGCGACCATGACGGGCTTAGTTCTGTGTGTGTGTGTGTGTGAGTGTGAGTGTGAATGAGTGTTTGTGAGTGTGTGTGTGTGTGTGTGCGTGAGTGAGTGAGTGTGTGTGTGAGTGTGTGTGTGTTTGTGAATGTGTGCGTGTGTGTGTGTGTGTGAGTGTGAGTGTGAATGAGTGTTTGTGAGTGTGTGTGTGTGTGTGTGCGTGAGTGAGTGAGTGTGTGTGTGAGTGTGTGTGTTTGTGAATGTGTGCATGTGTGTGTGTGTGTGTGTGTGTGTGTGTGTGCGTGAGCGTTTGTGAGTGAGTGAGTGTGTGTATGCGTGTGTGTGTTTGTGAATGAGTGTGCTTGTGAGTGTGTGTGTGTGTGTGTGTGTGTGTGTGTGTGTGATGTGTTAGGGGTCATTCACAGAAACGGCTTCTTAAAACAGAGTGTCTTAAAAAGTGAGGTGCTTATGAGCAAGATGTAGCACAACGGTCAAAGATGTCAGTCTAGCGCATGTTGTTTACATAGGAAAAGCTGTTATAAAGCAGCATAGTGGAACACAAAAATGCATTCTGTGTGAACTGACACTAACCTTAAATACAATGGCTCCAAATAAAGTACACTACCAGCCAAAAGTTTTTAACAGCATGATTTTTTAAATGTTTTTTAAATAATTCTAAGAATTCTCACCAAGCCTGCATTTATTTGATCCAAAATACAGCAAAAACAGTAAAATTGTGAAATATTTTACTATTTAAAATAACTGTTTTCTATTTGAATATATTTCAAAATGTAATTTATTCCTGTGATTTCACAGCTAAATTTTCAGCATCATTACTCCCGTCACATGATCTTCAGAAATCATTCTAATGTGCTGATTTGCTGCTCAAAAAACATTTCTGATTATTATTATGTTGAAAACAGTTGAGTAGAATTTTTTTCAGGTTTCTTTGAAAGTTCAGAAGAACAGCATTTATCTGAAATAGAATTTTTTTGTAACTTTATAAATGTCTTTATCATCACTTTTGGTCAATTTAAAGCATCCTGGATAAACAAAAGTATTAATTTATATAGTCTTTCCTAAAAAAATAGACTGACTCCAAGTTTTTGAATGCTAGAGTGTATAATGTTACAAAAGCTTTTTATTTCAGATAAATGCTGCTCTTTGGATCTTTCTATTCATCAAAGAATCCTGAAATAATGTACTCAACTTATTACGGCTGCATTAATATTTGATATACGTCCTCATAATGTTGAGAGAAATTCTCGGCACGTCCTTATGATGTTATTTGTACTTGATGAATATTCTTATTACATTGAGAGAACAACATTTTCAAAATGTTATTATGATGTTATTTGTACTTGAACATTGTAAGCTTTAAATACCGTTCTAATCACTACAAGAACACTGGAGATTTTAACATTCGTAGAACATTAAAAATATGTTCAAATAACGTTATATTTTGGTTGAAGTTAGTAGAATGTTTTAAGAAACAGTTTGTAACCTTTAAATAACATTATAATCACAAGAAAACTAGACATTGTTCCCACAACTTTTTAGGTCCCTCTTTATATTAGGTGACCTTCACTACTATGTTCTTGCATCAACAAATAAGTACAATGTACTTATTGTGTTCATATTGTATTGCACAACACGTGCTGCTATTGAGGCGGGGTACGGGTGAGGTTAGGGACAGGTTTGGTGGTATGGGGTGGTTAAAGGTGGGTTAAGGTGTAAGGGATGGGTCAACAGTGTAATTATAAATGTAATTACATGCAGGCATTTTTTAAATATAAAAACATGTGCAGTATGTACACAATAAGTGCATCATATCAAATGATTCATTTAAATTAGTGCTGTCAAACAATTAATCGCAATTAATCGCATCCAAAATAAAAGTTTTTGTTTACATAATATATGTATATGTACTGTGTATTATGTATATATATATATATATATACAGTATGTATTTTTTTTTATATTTACGTTATATAAAATATATTTAATATATACACATAGCATATATTTCTTAAATAAATACATGCATGTGTCTGTATTTATATATACATAATAAATAGGCCTATACACATATATTATGTAAACAAAAACTAATTCAATTGTACTAATTTAAATGTAAGTACATAGTAGTTAAGGCCACCTAATATAAAGTACGACCCTTTTTTCAGGGTATCAATGCTAGTGTCATTTATTGCAAAGAAAGAGAACAAAAACACATTCATATAGTTTTTGGAGCTGCTGGACACCTCTCTCTCTCTCATCCTACCCAAGAACCGCTGGAATATATATCAATGAAGCTGAAAAAGGCATAAAGAAAATTCAGCTTGTCTTATGTTTCAGACTGGAGCATAGGCTATAGACTGAGGTTTGCGGAGCACAGCAAGGCCATCTGAAACGTGAGAGGAAGGGCTGCTTTAGGAGGGTCATACTCCACCTTGACCTGCTGGTGTCACTCCACTATTCAAGACAAGCCCAGCTATAGTGCTCACTTTACTCCTGAACATGCAAAGAGAGGCTCTGCTGAACACCGACCCCCCCGTTCCTGAAAAGCCTTATGGGAGCGAGACAGGGTAAAGCATAGGACGCAGAGCCGGTATCACAATACAATCCCAGAGCCCCTGGTGCACTACTCCACAATCAGGAGCAACAGAGCGAGCAGAAATAGACGCTCTTGAGTTATAATGGTCCTTAGATCGAGAGGTTTAAAATTGCTAAAAGTTTTTGTTTACATAATATATGTATATGTACTGTGTATTATGTATATATATATATATATATACAGTATGTATTTTTTTTTATATTTACGTTATATAAAATATATTTAATATATACACATAGCATATATTTCTTAAATAAATACATGCATGTGTCTGTATTTATATATACATAATAAATAGGCCTATACACATATATTATGTAAACAAAAACTAATTCAATTGTACTAATTTAAATGTAAGTACATAGTAGTTAAGGCCACCTAATATAAAGTACGACCCTTTTTTCAGGGTATCAATGCTAGTGTCATTTATTGCAAAGAAAGAGAACAAAAACACATTCATATAGTTTTTGGAGCTGCTGGACACCTCTCTCTCTCTCATCCTACCCAAGAACCGCTGGAATATATATCAATGAAGCTGAAAAAGGCATAAAGAAAATTCAGCTTGTCTTATGTTTCAGACTGGAGCATAGGCTATAGACTGAGGTTTGCGGAGCACAGCAAGGCCATCTGAAACGTGAGAGGAAGGGCTGCTTTAGGAGGGTCATACTCCACCTTGACCTGCTGGTGTCACTCCACTATTCAAGACAAGCCCAGCTATAGTGCTCACTTTACTCCTGAACATGCAAAGAGAGGCTCTGCTGAACACAGACCCCCCCCCCGTTCCTGAAAAGCCTTATGGGAGCGAGACAGGGTAAAGCATAGGACGCAGAGCCGGTATCACAATACAATCCCAGAGCCCCTGGTGCACTACTCCACAATCAGGAGCAACAGAGCGAGCAGAAATAGACGCTCTTGAGTTATAATGGTCCTTAGATCGAGAGGTTTAAAATTGCAAATAAAGAGACGTGCATTCATTTTATCAATGCATCATGTCATGAATGCATCGTATCTGTAAAGCATGCTTGCTCCAGTTTAAGGGGATTTGAGGAGCTTGTCACCTGAGCTGGAGGTGTCTTTGGGAACGGTTGAGGCTGTGCTCTGCTGGTAAGCTTTTAATGGAGAGCACTGTGACCTTGTCAGGAATAGAGAGGCTTTTGGACTATTCACCTTTTGTTTTTTTCCCCCTTCAAATTCCCAAGACAGACTGGAAGGCTTTTTGATTCACAGGGTTATAGAAAATAATGGTTGTGTAAAAAGCAAGGAAAAATAGACAAAAGGTTTGTGCAATAACTGCTCACTGCTTTACCTTAAAAAATATTGCATGTACTCTTTCAATGAATATAAAGTCATGCATAAATTAATAATTATAAAAGTAGGTTTAAAAAAGTTTAACGTCACGCTGCAAAACGAAAAAGTACTTTATCTACCAAAATATTTGAAAAATGATTTGCTTGAAACACATGATAAAATGCATGTACATAAAACATCCAAAACCATGCAAATTATGTTTTTGTCTTGGAAAATGGTATTTGCAATCTCCTTAATTCAGCAAACATTTATTACATTTTTGAAATTTTGCTTAAGGTTCACAAAAGAATTTAGAAATGCACCTAGATTTACCAAAGCAGATGTGACCCGGGAGTACAAAACCAGTCATAAGGGTCAATTTCTTGAAATGTAGATTTATGCATCATCTGAAAGCTGAATAAATAGCTTTCCATTGATGTATGGTTTGTTAGGATCGGACAATATTTATAATTACTATTATTAGGGCCCGAGCACCGATGGTGCGAGTGAAGACAGAGAGAGAGAGAGAGAGAGAGAGTGAAGACAGAGACACACAGAGAGAGAGAGAGAGAGAGAGAGAGAGAGAGAGAGAGACAGAGAGAGCAGCTCTGTCGAAGCCTGGGTCTGTATATCATCAACGGTAGGTTACGAGGAGACACTTTAGGGAGATTCACATTTTGC